ATTTCACCGGACGCACAGATCACGCCAACCTACGCTACCTTGTGGGCGTAGACAAAGGGAAGGTGTTCCGCTGGGCGCTGGCGCTCAGCAGGTTCAACTTCACCTTAGAGTTCCTGGCGGGAGAGAAGAATAACATGGCGGACTGGTTGTCGCGGTACGCAGAGGAAGATGAAGAGTGCGACGCAGAGATCGAGGCAATGGCTTTGGGCCGTAGAGTGATAGGCCACGTGGGCCGACTGCTGCGGAGACATCAGGTGTCGGAAGAGGACTTTATGAGCGAGTACCGGCAGCTGGAGCCGCAAGGAGTGCCTGGGGTGAAGAAGGATGGCAAGTGGTGGCGGCACGTCATGACTGGCAAGGTGTACGTCCCGGTGCGACTGAGAGCGAAAGTGGTACTGAACTTCCACTATGGCACCAGTGGGCACGCGGGAGTACTCAACACGCGGAAGAGAGTAGCCAGCATCTTCTACTGGCCCGGACTTGCAGAGGACTTTGCGAAAGTGGTAAGAAAGTGCCTGATATGTGCCCGGGCTCGGACGAGAGCCCGGACTCGAACGAGAGCTCGGCTGACGCACAACGTACCCAAGGGGAGTCTGGAGAATCCGAGCGCGATGGACACAGTAAGCCTGGATCACGTAGGACCCATGCAGCTAGATGGTCAGAGTTGGTGGCTCCTAGTTGTAATGGACCACGCGACGCGGTACATGGGAGCGTGGATAACGAGCACGGTCACAACTGCGCAGACGGCTCACATCTTCTTGCGGGGCTGGGTGGCACCGTTCGGTACCCCGCGAGTGGTCTTAACGGATAACGGCACGAGCTTCGGGGGGGCGTTCCATGAGATGGTGGTTAGCGCGTTGGGCTGCGTTCATCTGACGACGGCAACGTATAGGCCGCAAGGCGCTCAGAAGCGGGTTCAAAGCACTGTAGCAAGAAGGACACCGCGACCTGGGTAGGATGGTGGCGGCGGTTTGTCGCACGCACAATACGACACCGCACATCAGCACAGGGGCGACGCCGTACGAGGCCTTATTCGGAAGACCACCGTACTTCGCGCGGTTGCAAGAGGTAACC